CGCTGCTGCGCCGTCCTTCCCATGCGAACTCGCCCCTAGTGTCCTGCTCCAGAATTGCTGCAGCGGCTTCGTCTTCGGGCGTTGCGTAGCTGTGGCCATCGTTCGCATAGACGCGGTTAGCGTTCCTTTCTTCATCGCGGCGGAACTGGTCGAGGAAGAGACGCTCGTAGAAGACTAGGTCGCGAGCATGGGCGGTCTTCTGGCTGAGGAGGTCCAGCACGATCCACGCCTTGTATTCATGACTGATGCCGAGATGAATTCCCCAGCGCGTGCGGCTGGCGAATTTCCCGATGGTTGATGTTGGCGGGCGATATTGAACCATGCACCCCCACACGCGGAGCATGGAGGTATCCCCCTTGGTTTCTGTCCACTTGACGTGCGGGGATAAATTGCCGGTGATTGCGGTGGTGGAAAGCAGGTTGTGCACCCGTACGGCGTGGTGCATCGCGTAAGTCCAGTAGATCGGCGGCAGCTTCGACTGCTTCATTAGTGCGCACACCTTCGTCATCAGTGTGCGGTTCGTCCGCTCAGCTACGCCCTGCTGCTGGTGCGCGTAGGGGAGAGAGATATGGTGCTCGATCCCCTTTTGTGTCAGGAAGGTCTGCATCTGGTTGCTCCTGAATTCTGCCGCGCCGTCAGATTGCCAGATCTTGAGTTTCTTCCCAGATTGCCGCTCCGCATGCGGCAGCCAGAGACGAAATGCCTCGTAGGCCTTGTCGCGCGATTCCACGTTTACCACCCAGACGTAGCGCGTTCCAGCGTCGATGAAGGTAAGCGTGTACATTTCGTCGTCGACTCCGCAGTGCCCCACGTTCAGAAAATCGATGTACACCTTGTGCAGCTTGGGGTAGCGGTTCGTTCCAGGTTCGAGCAGCGGGAACGGTTGGTGGCTCAGCGCAGCTTCAGGGCAGACGGTGCAGTTGCGCGGATGTGTCGCGCCTCTCACTTCGGAGCCATCAGGGCGCAGGAGTGCGCCAGGAGCGAAGACGCCTGCGTCGATGCAGTTTTTCAGTGTTGCGCGTGAGGGATGTCCGAGGCGCTGGTGCCAGAGTGCATCGTCAGCGCGAAAGCCGGAGGTGCGCATATAGCGTGCGCGCACTTCCTCAGGGTCTTCGTCAGGTACAGGAGCAGGTTCTGCTGCTACTTCTTCTGCTTCTTCTTCTTCTGCCGCGGTAGTCAGCATCAGCGCCAAGAACTCTCTGTCGCGAATTTCAGAGAGCGGGATGTTAGTCCCAGGGATGGTTCCAGGGACGAGGGTTGGTTCGCGTGGCTCAGGGGCCGGTCCGTAGACGGTGCAGCGCGGGGTTGACGGCTCGTTGCCCCAGATGATGGTATCCCAGGGATCGCGACGCGGGGGAATGTCTGCAGGGGGTGGTGCGAGCGGGATGTGGCGCGGGGGACGACCGAGAGGAACGACTGCAGGTGTTGCCTCATTTTCTTCGACTTCTTCTTCTCCCCCCCTTCGTTCTTCGCGGAAAGTACCCCAGCCACTATTGTCGGCGCTGGGTGCTGCGCCCCATCCGCCACTCGCGTTGGCCCAGGTTCCGCCGGTGTCGCCCCATCCGCCAGTGTCACTGGTTCCCCATCCTCCAGCGCTCCCCCACCCCCCTTCATTGGAGGCACTTTCTTCCTCCTCGGCTCCCCAGGCGGCGCAAGCGAAGGTCCCGCGTGCTTCCGCGAGGCTTTGCTGGCGAAGCTCCTCGGCTTCGCGGCGCGCCAGTTCTTCCTCTTGCTCCACAGTGAGCTTTGTTTTCGGGTCGCGTTGGGTTGAGTAGACTTCCAAGAATTTCTCGTAGGTGTAGGGGCGCGGCTCACCAAGGGCATCAAAAGTGCCGACGCCAGTTCCGCGTAGCATGCCTTGCAAGTGTTGTGAGGGGGGACCAATGAGGGGATGCTCTTTCGTGCCGAAAACGCCATGGGTAGCAACTTCAAGCTCGAGCTGCGACATCCCTTCCTCGGGGGGCGCGTTGCGCTCTGCTTCAATGATAGCGGCGAGTCCGCGGCCCGCAATCGCGCTTGTTGAGGTCGTCGGCGTATGCCAATCCCTGCATATGCCGTCGGGGTCGGGGTTGTGTAACGCCGTTTCGCGTGGGTGAGGATGATGCGGCACCCACGGCCTGCCGTCAGGGTGCTTCCAATCCCTGCGGTGGATGTGCTCGAAGCGCAGTGGCACGAGGTCAATCAGCTCGTGCGAATCGCCGCTGCAGTCGGGAATGTCGAAATTCAGGACGTATACTCCGTTTTTGGAGTGTGCTCGTCCGATCTGCCTGCGGGGGAAGTTGCGCGCCTCGTAGTGTAGCAGGATGTCTCGCGTCGCGCGGTCCGTGCTGAGGTCGACGCCGCAATCCATCAGCTGTGCGGTGGACAGGAGGTTGAAGCGCAGGTTCTGGACGATCAGCACATCGTTGAGCGTGATGTGCGTGCGGCTCCCGCGTGCTTTGAGCACGACGATGCCTTGCGCGCTTGCGCGCAGGCGCGTGTTGTTCGCCACGGTGACGTAAGTGACGGTAGGGGTGGGGACGGCGTTGGATATGTAACGCTCGGACCCCACCATATGCTGGCCGCAGCAGCTATCCAGGTACCAGGTGTTGTAGCGCTTGTTGTCGTCACGTGCGAGCAGCGCCAGTCGCGGCGTGACGATGTGCGGAGTGTCGAACTTCAAAAATTGCTCGCGCGTAAGCCAATCAAGTGGCGCCACCCGCATGTCAGGTACGTGCGGGGGACTTTCAAGCAGCGGGACTGGAAGATTCCAGTCCTGGTCGTCGTCGTCGGTGAAGTCGCGGCGCGGGCTGAACGGGTTGTTATTGTTGAACGCGCCAATAGGATGCGGGGCAGGCTCAGGTGAAGGTGAGCGTACGCGGCGACGACGCGACTTGCCTGTCATGGCCATATTGCCCATGACGTTGCGAACTGGGGCAGTCGATGACGGCTGCTGCTGCTGATGCTGAACCGCTGGGTTCAGGTTGCGCGCGGGAGGGGGCTGATACCCCTGGGCTGGACGCACGTCGCCTCGTGCGTCTTGACGGCCGGACCAAGTACTCGGGTTGGTCTGGCGAGGGCGAGATCGGTGCTTGCAGCGATCCGCCAAATGCCCAAAGTTTCTGCACATTTTGCAGTAGAGGCGCCGTGGCTTTCGCTCTTCGGTGTTGTCGGCGTAGAAGGCGAGCCTTTCGCGTTCTCGTCGCGGCGCAGGTCGCTGCTGATCCATATCCCTCTGTTCAACGAAAAGGGCGGCGCAAAGGGCGGCCTCCGAGATGACCCCCTGCTGTCGGAGAAGCGCCTTGCAGGGCCGCCACTCTGGGCCGAGCCCTTGAAGCACAATGTTGACGAAGATTTCTTCTGAAATCGTGCTTCCCAACTTCACGATTTGATCGCGAAGGCTCCGACAGCGATTGAGATAGTTGTTGACCTTCTCCCCTGTGGTCACCTTAGTTTCCAGGAGTTCCTGGAGTAGTCGGCTCGAAGAGACAGAGTCCTTGGGCTGATAGACTCCTGTCAGGTGCCGCCAGGCGTTAAGGGCTGGAGCAGCCGTGGTTTTGTAGGAACGGATGTTGAGCTGCTCCGCCGGCGACATATTCCGCAGGAGCACCCCGTACGCCATCAACGATTCGTCGTAATACCTCGCCTTGGCGTCGTCGGTGTCCTCAGCGGGCTCCGCGTAGCTCCCGTCAAAGTAATGGAAGATTCGGGCGTTCTGCAACAGGAGCTCCAACTCGAAGCTCCAGGTATAAAAATCTCTGCCGTCAAAACAGGTACTTGTCTTTATTTTTTATATGCTGAGAAACCTTGATTGAGCGGAGAGAATTGCCTCTTCACTGGGACGGGGAGTCTTGGGGGTTGAGCCATTGGTGTCGAGGGAGAATGTTTGCGGGGTGGCGTTCTGGCCAGTCGGGGCCGGTTGAGAGGGTTGCGAGGATGTTCCCGCATCGCCATTCCGCAATGTTTGGAGCCCTTGCTCCAGGCTGGTGAGTCGCTGAAGGAGTTGTGCGAGAACTTCGGAGCCGATTGTCGTCGTGTTCTCGCTTGTCGCAGCCGGGTTGGGTTGCGCTTCAGCCGTCAGATTGGTCTGACCACCAGATCCTCCGGCCATCTTCACTCGTGAGCGTGTGCCGGACGCCACTTTCCGAATGTCGCAATTTTCGGGAGTGGCAGTGCGAAGGATTCCCGAGCCGCTCTCATACCATGCTGCGATCAGAAGTTGATCGTAGCCCAGGATCTACTCAGGAAGGTTCGCACACAGTAAGGTAGTTTGGTGGGCCCTTGACCTCAATAGCAGAGTGAATGTAAAATGCTTTGAGATGATTAAAACATGCAAATACAAGAAATATAAATATGAGTACAAGGGAATACGAAACGACCTAACTAGCCATGTACTCTAAGGGGTACATTCTCTTATTCAAATGCATTCCCAACCGTGCGGCGCGTACAGTTTCGTAACTGTTCCCGCCAAAACCACCTTGCCTGCAGCTGCCCGATGCCGTCTGCTCCGACGGTCCAGATGCGTCCCAACTGTCTGACGCTTCGAGTCAATTCCAACCGTCTGACGCTTCGCGTTCATTCCCGTTACTGCGTGCTTCTCTTTGCTGCGGTGAGGAGTGCACAGTAATATCAAATATTACTATTCGTAACATGGATGTTTACATTATTGCATCCTTAACAAAGAATATGTTAGTGTGTAGAAGTGATATCTGAGCATGTATTGGTTATGAGATTATTTGTGATAGCATTCAGTGTGAACTATATGATACGCTTACTAAGCATATCTTTGTTTTAGTAACTGTAAGCGACAGAGAGGCAGCTGTTACGGAACGACTGCACAGTTTTGTGATCTGGCTGATTCGGGGCGGGGGCCAGTGATCATTCTTCCAGATGCCTAGATCCCTGATTCGGGCACCTGTGTACCTTCCTTCATCACCATGTCGTCCGTTCGTGGCGCAGTAGGCTCGCCGACCTCACCGCCAGGAGTGCAGACAGCTTCGTGGACTCGTCGAATTGCCGGAATGCCTTTTTGGGCGATCATTGTTCTTGTTGTCGTTGCTGCGACTGGGTCGGGCGCGACCAAGCCGAAGCCGATCAGCATTTCGCTGCGCGCCAAGTGGGAGGGAACACCACTCCTTCTAGAGGCAGGGTGAGTCGCCTTGGTGATGCCAGATCTCGTAGTTTTCGGAGCTTTCCGCCTACGCGCGATTTCGACAGCGCACCGCGCTCGGTGGAGTGGCATGCAAAAATAGTGATTTCGAGATGCGCGATCCAAGGGGGGGTGCTTGGTGGAGCGCGCGCTACTGCAAGTCGTCTGCGGTCGCTCGCCAGACTTACCTTATCCTTCTTGCGATGCCTAGCTGTCCTGAGCCTTTCAAAAAACGGCGACGCTGCTTGCTTGGTGTATGAATCCTCGTTGCCGAATCGGCCCACTTCGGCTCGCTACATCGCCGTTGTCAATTTGGTCTTCTTCCCGCCGTACCTCGCTGGAACGTGCCAAATTTCCTACCTTTCTGTTGGGATTGCTAGCCCGTTGCTCAATTTCCTGAGTGATGAAACATAAGCTGTCCCTTGCACATTCCTTGCGGGATGCTGCATTGATGCCCGTATATTCCCTCCTCACCCTCCCCCTCGCCCCCCCTGTCCCCCTGCATCGACCCATCGCCAGCGAGTTCTTAGCGCGCGAGGACGCGGCTCTCTATTGGAAGTTCCTCGCCGCGTGGCCGCGCGCGTCCCCCGATGCCAACTCCTCCGCACGCCCCGCTTCCGCCCCGCCGCGCCCGTCCGACGGCGACTGCCTGGACGCGCTGCTGCGCGTCGCCTCGTCGTTCCTCGCGGCCCCCCTGGCGCCGCTTCTGCGCCTGGCGCTCGCCATGCGCTCGCTCTCGCCCGCGCTGCTCCTGCACCGCCAGCTCGCGCGCCTCTCGCTCGCGCAGGCGGGGCTGCTGGCCCCCCACGGCGCGCAGGGAGGGACTGCGGAAGGGGAGCAGGCGGGGTGGGGCGCAGGGGGGGGCGATGGGGGCGAGCGGTGGCGGGTGAGTGAGAACCCAGCGGCGCCCAAGGGACACTGCTGCTGGGTGGAGCTGCAGGGGAAGGTTCTGCTGGGGGAGGCGGAAGTGGCGGCGGCAGTGGCATCAGTGCAGGCGGAGGGAAGGTAAGGGTTCGTGCTGGGCGGGACTGGTCTCTGCCCTGTTCCCTGCGATGGTTGACCCTTCACCTCGCTCTCCGTCCCTCACTCGCACATCTCTACCGTTCACAATCCATGCATGCATCCATCCTTCCCATCCCAGTGCCAGCGTCCCTCGCGTGTATGCATTTTTCTACCATCAGCACTCACTCCGTATCTCATCAGCACCCTCATCAGTCTGACCCCGCCTCGCATCATCTCCCTCAACTGCGCCCTCCCCTCCATCTCTTGCTGCATCGCACTGCCCTCCCCTGTAGTGCCAGCGCCCCATCGGCCGCGTCAGCAGCAGAGCACGGGGCGGCGGTGCATGCCTTCGACCACGTGTACCCCTCCGCCTTTGCCTCCGCCGCCGCTGCCTCGCACCACGCGCCCCCGCCCGCCTTCCTCTATGCCAGCCCCGGCTCTGCCTGCTTCGCCGCCCTGCTGCCCCTCCTCTCCGCTGCTGCAGACCAGGTATTGCTGCTGCACACCAGGTATCGCTGCTGCTTGTGCTTCACGTGTACTGCTCGTTCAGCCCTGCTAGCATAGTCTTGTGTAGTGCGGTCGTCAACTTTGTTCTCTCGTTCCCTTCCTCCCTCTTCCCTTGCCTTCCCGTCCCGTTTCATCCGTCACTCTTCTTTTCCAAGAATCTTTCTGCTCAACCACATCTGCGCCCGCCCCCTTTTCCTCCCTCCTTTCACCGCCTGGGCGGCAGGGCGCCATCCGCCTGGTGCTGCGGCCGGTGCTGCCAGGGGGCTGTGAGCAGCACGTGGGGCGCTGTGCGGCGGTGGGGGCGGGCGGGCGGGTGAGTCTGGGCGGCTACGGCGTGGAGCTGGCGCTGAAGAACATGGAGTACAAGGCACTCGATGACTCCAAGCTCCACAAAGGTCCGCCTCGCCCCCCCCCCCCTTCCCTTCCCCCTTCCCCCCCCCTCCCCCCCCCTTCCCACCACTGCTGTTCGGGGGATGGGGCAGGCAGCTTTGTGCCTGCCATCATAACCCTGCAATGACTCTCACTCTGCGCTCTCTGCCGCTACCAACGGCTGTCTCTGTGGGACGATCGCCGTGAATACTCACGGTTCTCGTATCTGCATCATGCAAGTCCCTGCGGTGCTGTGTGCATTGCGTTGGATGTGTGCGGCATGACCATGTGTGCCACATGACCATGCCACATGAGTGACCATCTGTGTGCCATGGCATGGCCATGTGTGTGTGGTGTGGATGGCCATGTGAGTGGCACACAGACAGTGCAGGGCATGCGGCAGCAGAGGGGTCAGCAGATGATTTGGCACAGCCAGTGAAGGGCTTTCTCTTTGACACCCTTGTGGTCAGTCCACGGCTGCTCTTCTCATGCACTCGCATACTTCTCATGCTTCTCATGCTTCTTCCCAGTGATCTTTCGGGAGGTACTTGCACATGTTAGTGGCATTTTCTCCTCAGTTAATATTTTTGCTTCGCGCTCATGCCTTTTGTTTCGTCTGTGCAATCTTGCCCCGGTTCCTCTTGCCCCCCTGCCCCAGAAACGGTACCCCGAGCAGACGGGCGAGCTGCTGACGTTTCGCGACCAGCTGCTGGCAGCAGAGGAGATCCGAGACGAGTACAACGTGTGGGAGCTCAAAGGTACAACGTGTGGGAGCTCAAAGGTACAACGTGTGGGAGCTCAAAGGTACAACGTGTGGGAGCTCAAAGGTACAACGTGTGGGAGCCAACAGAGTGTGCAGTGCAATTGTAAGGGTGTTCTTCGGGGTACCACGTTCAGATAGTATGTGTGTGTAGACCAGCTCAACCAGAGTGGAGTAACAGCTAGCTTGCAAGGCGTTGGTTGGTGTGGCGGCCTCCATATGTATGTGCTGTGATAACAAGTGTATCCTCCCACTCCCGCTGCCCGCCAGACCTGGGCATTCAGGCGACTCAGCGCATTGTGGGGGGAGCAGAGCCGCTGCGGCTGATGCAGGACATCAACCAGAACTTCCCCAAAATCATGGCCTCCCTCGCCAAGACCAAGGCGCGTGCTGCTCTCTCTCCGCTCCCTCCTTGTGCCGGTTGCAAAGTAGCCTCGCATACATGCTGTGTTGTCTTCATGTGTATGGTGCACATCTGGTATGGCATGTTGCATACATTTGAAACGAGCATTCGTCTGGTATGTCACTCCTTCGTTTCCATACCCTGCTTGCGTGTGCCATTCCTTCTTCCCCTCCTCATCGCCCGTGCCCTTATATCTACCCATTGCTTAGTACCACGTGCTTCACGTCCCCTTGGCCCTAACCTGCCGCTTGCACTCGCCCGTGTGTGTGCCGTCGTGCCATGAGTGAACGGGAGCAGGTGGACAGCACGGTGGAGGAGGCGGTGCAGGAGATGCATGGCATGGTGCAGGCGGGGCGCACCATCGTGGCGCTCAACAGCATCGCATTCAACCTCGCCACCCTCGACATCTTCACGTACAGACCCGCACTCCCCACCACGCACCACTCGCTACTACCTCGCACAACTCCTGCCTGCTTGCTTGCTCTTATGGCTGTGACCGTTGAATGAGCGTCTCTATTCCTGCAGTAGCCGTTGTGTTTTCATCCCTCCCTCCCACTCTCCTGCCCTCTTTCCCCTCCGCTCCGCGCACACCAGTCTGCTGGAAGCGGTGCAAGCCGAGCTGTCGCTTGGAGCACAGCTGCTCTCTCTCAAGGTGAGCCATTCTTTCTCTCACTGCTTGCTGTGCCAGCTGTACGCAGCTGCACAGGCCATTCCTCGCTAGCCTCGCCCCTGCCTCTCCACCACCATCTACCAGTCTTCTCCCCAGGTTTCTACTCACGCCTACCATCACCTTCCCCCCTCACTCTCTCATCTCCCATCCGTCCCTCTTGCCTTCCTATTTCCTCATGCCCTGTCTCCCCATGCACTCCCCTCGCCACCCTCCAGTTGCCAGCGCCAGTGGTGCGGCAGCTGCTGCATCTGCCACCAGCATCAGCGGCGAGGGAGGAGGCGGGGGCGCTGCGGCTGGACTTCCGGTCGCCGTGGCACGTGCACTTCTTCAACGACCTTGAGAGAGACCGCGAGTACAGGGGCTGGTCACCCAACATGCATGAGGTGAGTTCTGAGGCGCCTCAAATCAAATAACGCGGCTGGACTTTCGATCGCCGTGGCGCGTGCACCTCTTTAACGACCTTGAGAGGGACCGCGAGTACTGAGGCTGGTCTCCCAACATGCATGAGGTGAGTTCTGAGGCGCCCAACATGCATGAGGTGAGTTCTGAGGCGCCCAACATGCATGAGGTGAGTTCTGAGGCGCCCAACATGCATGAGGTGAGTTCTGAGGCGCCCAACATGCATGAGGTGAGTTCTGAGGCGCCCAACATGCATGAGGTGAGTTCTGAGGCGCCTCAAATCACGCGGCTGGACTTTCAGTCGCCGTGGCACGTGCACTTTCTTAACGACCTTGAGAGAGACCGCGAGTACAGGGGCTGGTCACCCAACATGCATGAGGTGCGCTGGTCGCACACTCACTGCATGCTGCTGCACTGCACACTCCTGCTCATCACCTTGGCAACCCCCTATGTGTCTACCACCTTCACCTTGTCCTTATCACCGTAGCATTGCTCAATCGTGTACTGTTCTGTGCTCAACTCAAGCATGCTACTCTTTTCAATTCCACGTTCCTTTACACGTTTGTGTGTGTGCATGTGCATGCGTGTGTGTATGTGCATGACAGCTGCTGATGCCCATGTATCCGGGCCAGTTCCGTCCCATCCGCAAGAACATCTTCCATGCTGTCTTCGTGCTCGACCCCATGCACCCCGCCACGCCCAAGGTGGGTACTACTGCCATGCCATGTACCGCCCTCAAAGTGCCTCTTTTCATGTACCCCCGTTGCTTTCCACTTGCATATTGGTGCCGGTGGCTGATATTGGTGCCTTTCCCTGCTACTCTTTAAACTCCTCCTACCCAATGCTCCTTCCCCCTTTCTCTCCCATTCCTCCCTTCCCCCCCCCCCACCAGGCAGTGGCGCACATACACAAGCTGCATCGGGGCAGCATGCCGCTGCGCATGGGGGTCATCCTCGCCTCCTCCGCGCGTCTCCTCTCCCTCAACGACCCCTCCGCCCCTGCGCCCCACCATGACCTCTCCGAACTGGTGGGTTGCCCTCCTTCCCTTGCGCATTTCACACTCCCAACTTCCAAGCCTCCTCGCTTCGCCCATCCCACTCTCCCTCTCGACCTCTCTCACCACCTCTGCTGCTCACTCCTCCATCCTTTGCCATCAACCTCCCTTACTCCTCACCCATCTGTCCGCTTAAGCCAAGCTGCTTGTTCCCACTCGTTGTCCTTCCACATTCCTCCTCCGTGTGATGCCACGCATCCATGCCCCCCCCAATGCTGCACGCATCCATGCCCCCCCCAATGCTGCACGCATCCATGCCCCCCCCAATGCTGCACGCATCCATGCCCCCCCCAATGCTGCACGCATCCATGCCCCCCCCAATGCTGCACGCATCCATGGCATGCACGTGCAGGCCATGGCGCTCTTCCTGTACATCAAGGACTCTGTCGGCGTCCGCCCCGCCTTCGACTTCCTCCTCGAGGTCAGCTCACTCGCCCTCCCTCCCCCACGCGTGCGCGCTTCCTCCTCCCCACTTTTCCCTTGCCCCTCCCCCTTTCCCCTCCCTTATACACTTGTTCCTCCATCTCTCGTTCTTCAACTGTGTCTGTCACTGGCCCTCACATCTTTACTTTCTTGCACTGCCGTCTCTCTCCTCCTCTTCCTCGTCCGCTCATCACCCCCTTCCCCATGCCCTCCCCGCAGATGTGGGGCGGCAGTGCGTTGGACGAATCTATGGACGACTACGAGGACGCCATGGTCACACTGCCGCCCCCGCAGTACACAGCGCCCGACCAGCCCACCTTGGAGGCCGCCTTCCTCCACACGCTCATGTGGGCTCGCGCTGGGGGCTTGGGAGGGAGCAGTGTGCTCTGGTGCGGTGTTGTGCGGTGTGATGCGATGGGATGGGATGGGATACATACATGCATTGGGTAGAGGAACTATGTGGGAATATGCCTGCTTGGGGTAAGCAGTGCGTGGGGCATGTGTGCCCCCTCATCTGCGCATCACTCCATCTTTTTCCTCCAGCCAGACTCTTCAGCGCATGGCTGTCCACTCGTCCACTGCTCGTCTCTCCGTTTCTCTCCCTCTCTGCGCCCACCAGTGCGGCAGCAGCAGCGTCGCAGGGGGGATCGCTGGGCAGCGACGACGCCAGGAGGGCTGCGCTGGCGTCAGTGCTGGCAGCAAGGCAGCGGGTGGAGGGGGGACAGGCGGACAGTGAGGAGGGCGGAGGAGAGCAGGGGGGAGCAGGAGGGGGAGGGGCGGCGGCAGCGGTGTGGGCGCAGGTGGTGGGCAGCTCTCGCTTTGTGTCGGGGCTGGGCCTTGCGGATGCCATGCCATGCCTGCTCTTCAACGGCATCTTCTACCCCTCGCCCAAGGTCACAACCGCTGCCCCCTGCTGCTGCCGTCGTTGCTGTTTGCAGTTCCCAAGCTGCAGACCCCGACTTGCTGTGCCCTCTTTGAGCAACTTCCGCTGAGAAACCCTCGCTCTTTCTCTTGCTCTCCCCCCTCTTCACCACTGCACTGCACTGCACGGCATGGCAGGTGCCAGGGGGAGCACTGGAGGCGATGCAGGAGGAGATGGAGGCGGTGCAGAGGGCGGTGTACTACCAGCAGATCAGAGGCTCCTCTGACGTCCTCGCCTTCTTCCTCTCCTCCGCTGCCAAGCGCTTCAACCCCGAGGCCAGTGCACTGCCGCCACCTCCGAACCCTCTCATGCATGCCGCCTCTCTGCCCCCTCTGCCTGCTCCCTACTGTATCAAGAGTCTATGCCTGTCCATTTAGTATGCAGTCCAGCTCGTTCCCGTCCTGAAGCAATACTGCATTCTCTCTCTGCTTCGATCCCCGCGTATCACGTCTTCTCTCCTGTTCGTTAACAGGTGGCACTGCCAGCAGGCAAGACAGCGCCCTACGTGTCCCTGGCGCCACCCATGGCAGCTGACAACCCTGCCCTCGCGCGCCTCTCCTTCCTGCACTCGCCTGGCAGTGCGTCTCTCCCTCCTCGCCTCTCCCTCTTTGCCTCCTGCCACCTGCACTCCTCCATTGTCCTTCCTGCGCTTTTGCTTGCCTTGCCTTGCCTCGCTTGGTCTGCCACCATCCCTTGTGATTGCCACTCACCGCCTCCACCTCCTGTATTCCTTTGTGCCGTGTGCCCTGCTGTGTGTGCCGTGCGCCCTGCTGTGTGTGCCGTGCGCCCTGCTGTGTGTGCCGTGCGCCCTGCTGTGTGTGCCGTGCGCCCTGCTATGTGTGCCGTGTGGCGAGCAGCGGAGGACGAGGTGAAGCCGTTTACTCACCTGCTCGCGCTGGACCTCTCATCGCACCAAGGGGTGGACCTTCTGCTGCAAGCCGTGCTGCACCTGGTAATACCGCACTGCACCTTGCAGTACGGCAGTGCACCAGAAGTGCTCTACAGCATGCCATTGTGTGTGTGCAATCGTTCATGACTCCTTGCCATGCTCATGCTCATGTCATGCACCTGTCTCTCATGACTACCACCCTTCCATCTTCCTGCTGCTTGTTCCCTGTCCCCATGCAACACACATGGCAGGAGAGTGAGGAGGGCACGCATGCCCAAGTGGCCATTCTGCACAACCCCTTACACGCTCCCGCCACCGCTTCGCCCACCGATGCCCGCCTGCCACCTCTCGCATGGCGCCACCTCGTGCCACGCCTTGTCATGGCCGCCATGCAGATGCCCAGGTCACACTCCTGCTGCACCCACCTCCCAAGCAACTTCTGCACGATGAGACACTCGCTGCTGTCTTGCGTCTTACGACTTCACACCCTTGCTGTTACCCATTCCCTCTGCCCCCACCCGGGCTTCACCCGGTTCCACCCACTGCCCATTCACCTCCCCTGCTCCACCTCTTCCCATCCCCCCACCCTCCCTCCCCGCCATGCACCATGCCCCACCAGTCGCCGCAGTAAGCTCCCATCCTTCCTGCGCCGCCTGCTGCAGCTGCCGCTGCTCAGAGCTGTGGTCTCGCGGACGCACACAGGTGGCGAGGGTGACGGGTGGGCGGGCAGGGGGGAGGTGAGCGGCGAGCAGGAGGGTCAGGAGCTGCTGGCGTCAGCATGGAGCGTTGCTGACGAGGCAGGGCTGAACAGGGCGGAGTTGGAGCGCGCTGTGACAGGCGCTGGCACTGCAGAGGCTGCTGCTGCGCACATGGCCCAGGTGAGGCCCTGCTGGGGGGCAGACAGGTGGAGATTTTCATTCTTGTGCGACGTTCAAATCATTTGCATCAGTGGCGTCAGTGCTCATCTCATTGTTCTCGTGTGCCTTGCGTACGGACTGGGTCGTTCTGTATCCCGTGGCGTCCCCCTCTGCTTGGCAGGATCGATTGTTTGTGAAGCAGCATTGTGGCGCCAGCCCAGGCAGCAGCGTCATCATCACCAATGGCAGGGTGCGTGCACCCCGCTCCTTCCTCCCGTATACCACCATTCTTTCATTCCTTCTCTTACCTCCTCCCTTGCCCTTTCTCTCGCGTTCACTTATGCACACCTCACTCGCTCCCACTTCATGCATGTCCATCCCAAACACCTTGCATGCCCCCACCACCCTGCATGTCTCCACCTTCCTCCTGACCACACACCATGAAGCACCTGCCCTCCCCCCCTCTCCTCCCTCCGTCCCTCCCTATCTGCCTCCCTCCCCCCCCCCACCCACCAGCTGTTGGCACCGCAGCACCGCTTTGTGGCTGCGGATTTCGCCCTGCTGGAGGAGGTGGAGTCAAAGCGCGTCAAGCCGGCGCTCGCCGTGCTGCACGACCTGCCCTCCTGCCCGCACCTCCCTCCCGACCTCCCTCTCAGGTGCGATCAGGACTGGCGCAGGCACAGCAGGGCGTGTGAGGGCTAGTTGCATGCTCGTTCTTGCAGATTTCTTTGACATTCTTTGGTGTGCAACGTGCATTGCATGGCACCGGTTGCTGATATTCCAAGTGTGGTCATGTTCACATGCATGCATGCTTGTATGGACGTTGCATACGGCCTGCACATCACCTTACGTCCCGCCATCCATATCATGCACCTCTCACCCACCCACCCACCCACCCCACCCCGTCCGTGCTGCAGTGACCACGTGTCGTCTATGGCGATGGCAGTGGCATCAGCGCTGTCATCAGCGGAGAGGGCCAGCGGTGACTACGTGCAGTTCGCCCGCCTCACTGCCAGCCCCAGGTGCTCCTCTCCTCGCCCGCCTCACTGCCAGCCCCAGGTGCTCCTCTCCTCGCCCGCCTCACTGCCAGCCCCAGGTGCTCCTCTCCTCGCCCGCCTCACTGCCAGCCCCAGGTGCTCCTCTCCTCGCCCGCCTCACTGCCAGCCCCAGGTGCTCCTTGCAGTGCTCGTGCCATCCTGGGCCAGCAGCAGCATCGTAGTACCATCACTCGCCTCTCCACGCTGGATAAGCACTCGGTTCCTCACTGCTTGCACGTCTTGCCCGCTTCCAACTCACTCTTCATTCTTTCCCGTCTCTCAGTGCTTGTACTCTCCTCTTACACATAAGCCTCTTTCTCCTCTCCTTCTGTACCTCTCTCCTCCCGCCCCTTTCCCTTGTTGCCTTGCCAGCATCGGCATCATCCACAGCAACGACTCGGCACTGTTGCACATTGATGGGGTGATTGACCCGCTGAGTGCGGAGGCACAGCAGGTCACGCCGCTGCTGCTGCTGCTGCACGAGTGGTTCAACCCCTCCCTGCGCATCTTCATGAACCCCCTCGTGCGTGCCCTGCCTGCCCCGCCCTCTTCTCCACCTGCATCTCACTCCCATGCCATGCTCTCTTCCCCATGCCATGCTCTTTTCCCCATGCCATGTACACTGTGTATTTTGCCATGTATTTCATTGGTGCTCAAACTCGGAGCTTCTTTGTGCGTTACCACTCCAGATCAGTTTTGAGACCCCCATCCCCTCTCCGACCCTCTTCACACGCCCTGCATGGCCGCCAGACATCCATCTCCGAGTTTCCTCTCAAGAACTTCTACCGATACGCCGCTCCCCACAAGGCACGCCCCCTCGCCCCTTCTCTTTCTGCCCTGGAAATGGCGTCATCTGCTCGTGTGCTATCGGTCGGCCACCTCTCTCATATCATCCCATCCCCCCGCTCACCCACACTTCGCTCGCCTCCCTCCTTAGTGCCAATGCTTCCACTCCACCTCTTATCCCTTGCCATTTCCAGCCCTTCACATCAGTCTCTCCTCTACTCCTTCCTTCCCCACCATCCCACATCCATCCCAACCACCTCCCCCTGCAACCCCCATCAGGAGCTGGCAGACGGATCAGGGGCGTTGGCAGCGGGGGCGGAGGTGGAGTTTCTGAACATGCCTCTCACGCGCACGCTCACTCTCAACCTCAAAGTTCCAGAGCCCTGGCTCGTTGAGCCGGCTGTTGCAGAGTGAGTGAGGGTAGAGTGCAGGCCAGTGGAAAGTGGTTTTTTCCAATACCGTGCTTCCTGCGCTTACCCAACCCCAACCCTAACACCTTGTCATTCAGCTCACTCGTCTCCAGGCGCCTTGTGTTCTTCACCCTCCACTCTCCCTCCTCACCCCAACTGCTCATCTCCCCCTGCCTCTCACCCCCCCCCCCCCCCTTGCGGGCAGCCACGATTTGGACAATCTGGTGTTGGAGAAGGTGGCGGACCCCAGTGTGGCTGCTGTCTTTGAGCTCGAGGCGCTCATGATCACCGGTCCGTGCCTGCACGTGGTGCTCATGGGCTGGTTGTTTGTGGGTGGGATGTGTGAACACACTTGTGCACGCTTGTGGAACGGTCTGGCTTAGTCTTTGTTCTCTCTTCCACGTGTCTCTGCTTCCTTGTTGCTGTGCCCCCACTACTCTCTGTCTGCCCCTGCAACTCTCTCCCCACCCCTTACCACTCCACAACACCCCCACCCACCAGGCCACTGCTACGAGGAGTCGGACATGCAAGAGCCGCCGCGGGGCATGCAGCTCGTGCTCGGCACACCCCCGCCCGTCCCCTCCGCGCTCCTCAACCACTCCTCCGCCCCCGCCACCACCACCACCGCCCGCACCAGCGAGACAGCAGGCCGGCCGCAGGGACTAGTGGTATCATCAGCCCTGGAGGACACGATAGTGATGGCGAACCTGGGCTACTTCCAGCTCAAGGCCGCGCCCGGCCTCTGGCTGCTGCAGCTCGCCCCCGGCCGCTCCCAGACCCTCTACCAGCTGGCGGGGGAGGGCGGGGAACTGGGGGGCGCTGGTGCCGCTGCAGAGGCAGGGGCAGGCGGAGAGAATGAGGGGGATGCGGGGATGGGGGCGGTGGGGCGGGTGGCGATGGAGGTTGCAGTGATGGACCTGCGGGGGAAGGTGGTGCAGCTGAGGGTGGTGAAGCGGGCGGGCATGGAGGGCGAGAAGATGCTGGATGGCGCTGGGGGAGAGGATGGGGACGACGAGCAGCAGGAGGAGCCAGCAGCGGCGGTGAGGCCTCTCTGCTCTGTCTGCTCCCAGTTGCTCCCTTCGTTGCCCGCTTCTTCTCGCCTCCCGCTTCCTCTTACGTCTCTCTCGCTCTCTTTCCTGCCTCCCACGACCTGTCTGTTATCCCCCCATCGCTTGCAGGCGTCTCTCTTTGAGTCCTTCTTCCAGAAGCTCACCGGCAAGGTGGGAGAGAGACCAGGGTGGGGGAGAAGCGCAGGGTAGGGGGAAGGGCAGCAGGGGTGTGGGGGGGGGGAGCACAGGTTGGAGTGGACTGTAGGTGCGGACAGGGGCAGGCAGCAATGGCAGGGGGATGTGGGAGGGCTGTCTGTACTGACAGTTGTCAAAGAGCACCCGTAAAGCTGCTTGCCACGTGACTGCATTTCACGAGTCCTGCATCCTCCCTTCTACCTTATCTCTCCCCCTTGCCTCTCCCTGTCAAACCTCATCTCTCTCCCCCTGCACTGTCCACATGCCTGTGCGGGTCAGAAGCCAGCAGTGGCCAGCAAGGGCGAGGGGGCAGCAGGCGCCAACAGCACAATCAACATCTTCTCCATCGCCAGCGGCCACCTGTGCGTTGCCTCTCTCCCCCCGTGCCAACTGCCTTCCCACACCCACTGCCACTCCACTCTTATGCCCACTACCCATGCAAGCATCGCCTCCCTGTGGCCACCATTCCCTGCCCCTTTCCATGTTCCGTTCCTGCTGCACCATTCCCCTGCTGCATACCATATCCTACTCCCTCCCCCGTTCCCACCCATTTCCACCTCTTTCCCATCTCCCCCCCGTGGCTGGGCAGGTACGAGCGATTCACGCGCATCATGATTCTGTCTGTGCTCAAGAACACACGCCGCCCTGTCAAGTTCTGGTTCATCAAGAACTACCTCTCGCCCTCCTTCAAGGTGATTGCCATCTGCCATGTGTACTATTTCACACTCTCTTCAAAGCCACTCTGCTCACAAATCCCCATCTCTTACAATACATCTGTGTTCATTTCCACTCCACATCCACCCCACATCTCTGCTCCATCTTCCATTGTGGCTCCCCCTGCCCCTACCCCCACCCTGGTGCAGGAGGTGATACCGCACATGGCGCGGGAGTACGGGTTTGAGTACGCGCTGATCACGTACAAGTGGCCCTCATGGCTGCACAAGCAGACGGAGAAGCAGCGCCTCATCTGGGCCTACAAGATCCTCTTCCTCGACGTCATCTTCCCCCTCTCCCTGCAAAAGGTCATCTTCCCCCTCTCCCTGCAAAAGGTCATCTTCCCGCTCTCCCTGCAAAAGGTCATCTTCCCCCTCTCCCTGCAAAAGGTCATCTTCCCCCTCTCCCTGCAAAAGGTCATCTTCCCCCTCTCCCTGCAAAAGGTCATCTTCCCGCTCTCCCTGCAAAAGGTCATCTTCCCCCTCTCCCTGCAAAAGGTCATCTTCCCCCTCTCCCTGCAAAAGGTCATCTTCCCGCTCTCCCTGCAAAAGGTCATCTTCCCGCTCTCCCTGCAAAAGGTCATCTTCCCCCTCTCCCTGCAAAAGGTCATCTTCCCCCTCTCCCTGCAAAAGGTCATCTTCCCCCTCTCCCTGCAAAAGGTCATCTTCCCGCTCTCCCTGCAAAAGGTCATCTTCCCGCTCTCCCTGCAAAAGGTCATCTTCCCCCTCTCCCTGCAAAAGGTCATCTTCCCCCTCTCCCTGCAAAAGGTCATCTTCCCCCTCTCCCTGCAAAAGGTCATCTTCCCGCTCTCCCTGCAAAAGGTCATCTTCCCCCTCTCCCTGCAAAAGGTCATCTTCCCCCTCTCCCTGCAAAAGGTCATCTTCCCCCTCTCCCTGCAAAAGGTGCCCCACCTCCGCTCTGCTCCACCTTCCACCTGCCACCTGCTCTGCCATCCCCCTCTGCTGCACTGCAACCCCATCTCACTTCTGCAAAGAGTGCTTCTCGCCCATGCAAGGGACATCGTTGTGTTGTGTCGCTCACATGTCGCAGCCAGGGTTCCATTCTCCACATGACCTTGCTTTGTCCCTGCTTGATTGCACCAACCCATGTCATCAAGCCCACACATCTACCGCATTCCATGGCTCTGCTGCGCGCTGTGCTTCTGCGCGCCTGTAAATCAGCTCTGCATTCGCCCATTCCCCTCCCCCTCCCCCCACTCCCCCAGGTGATATTCGTGGACGCGGATCAGGTGGTGAGGGAGGACATGGGGCGGCTGTATGACATGCCACTGCACGGCCACCCGCTCGCCTACACGCCCATGTGCGACAACAACCGTGACATGGAGGGCTACAGGTTCTGGAAGCAGGTGAGCGGGCAGTGGAGAGCAGGGAATGTCAGAGAAATGTTCTCCCTTTACCTTGAATTCCAACTCATGACCTTTTGTTTCGGATCTTCCTTGTTGCATGCGTGCAGGGCTTCTGGAAAGACCATCTGAGAGGAAAGCCATACCATATCAGGTGAGGCAGTGAGGGAGCAGATGCAGCGCAACACCGCTCTGACGCACTCGTTTGGGCCCTGCACTGCCCTCTTCCCCCCACCTCTGCTTCTCTGTCGTCTCCACCCACTCGCCCTTCCTCTCTTCACCCCACCCTCGAACTCCCCACCACCCCGCCCCATCCCCCACCACCCACCTCAACCCCACCCCATCCACGTGCTTGGTGCAGCGCACTGTACGTGGTGGATCTGGTGCGCTTCCCGCGCATGGCAGCGGGGAACATTTGAGTCGACTCAACAGTCACCTCCTTTTCACCCCACCCCCCACATAAACACCCCACCCCATGCACGCCTGTGTGGCAGCGCCCTGTACGTGGTGGATCTGGTGCGCTTCAGGCGCATGGCAGCGGGCGACACGCTGAGAGTGATCTACGAGAGCCTCAGCAAGGACCCCAACTCCCTCGCCAACCTCGACCAGGTACACCCTCTCCCACCCCTCGCCTGCTGCACCAGGTAAAGCCTCCCCCACCTCTCACCTGCACCACCAGGTACCACCTCCTCCACCTCTCACTTGCACTAGGTACTGCCTCATCCATTCCCCTTCCTCCTGTAACTTTTCTCCTCTCCCCTGTAACCGCCCCGTTCCCTCCTCCCCTCCCCCTGTATCAGGACCTGCCCAACTACGCGCAGCACACGGTGCCCATCTTCTCGCTGCCGCAGGAGTGGCTGTGGTGTGAGTCGTGGTGTGGCAACGCCACCAAGGCCCGCGCCAAGACCATCGACCTCTGCAACAACCCCATGACCAAGGAACCCAAGCTGCAGGTCAGTGCCCTCTCCTCTCCATTCTCCCCCTTCTGACTCTCCCTTAATCTTGAACTTGAACTCACTTCCGCTTTTGCGTTCTCCTGTGTCTGTGCCGTGTGTGCGCGCTGGGCATGGCAGGGGGCACGGCGCATAGTGGCGGAGTGGGGGGCGCTGGACGAGGAGCAGCGGCGCTTCACAGAGAGAGTCACCCGGGGGGAGTTTGACGACCTCCCACCCTCCGCGCCACGTGGCACGCTGCGATTCGCCGGCTTCCACTCAGCCCCTCGACCAGAGGAGGGGCCTGTGAGGGAGGCAACGGTCGAGGAGGAGGAGGGGGAGGAGGGGGGAGTGGAGTATATGGATGGAGTGATTGAGGGAGAACAGGAGAGAGAGGAGGGAGGGGAGAGTGGAGAGGGAGGGGAGGGAGGGGAGGAGGAGGTGGGGGAGTGGGTGGGGTATGAGGTTGACCCAGCGTACGAGGACTTGGAGGGGCTGGAGGAGATTGCCGTGGAGGCTGTTGATGGGGTGGAGGGAGAGGAGGGTGGGGAGGGGGAGGATGAGGAGGAGCTTGGGCATGAGGAGTTGTGAGAGCAAGAGCAAGGCAATCTGTGCGACATGACAGCTCTGGGTGGCTAACTGCTGACTTCTGCAGTTTTCAGAACATTTCCTTGCCATCTGATTCCTAATCAGTAACACTGTTGATTGTATCCCCTCGCTGTTCGGTACACAATTGCCTTTGCTTTGATAAGGAAAACAACAGAACTGTTCCAATCGCTAAGCAACTAACATATGTTTTCCGTGCACACCTCATAAGAACTATCACAATGTTTCCAGTGTCTCATAAGAACTGTACAGGAGAACACTAGTGGCTCTCTTTCCACACCTTACCCCTCCCATCAATTGCCACCCTCTGGCACTGCCTCCCCTCCCTGACCTCCGTGCTCCCCTTGCACCCCCACCGCCTGCCCCGCCTCCTGCACCCCAGCACCCTCCCCCATGGCCGGCGGCGCCGCAGGCAGGGAGGCGCGGAAGCGCAGGCGCACATAATCAGCGAACCAGCGACCTTCAGAGTCGCAGAGCGTGGGGTGCAGCGCGAGGTGCACCTCATCGTACACAGCGTTCTTGTCGGCCTCGGAGAGCCCGTGGAAGAAGCTCTGCGCGAAGGCGTCCAGCCAGCTCGCCACGCCGTCCGGCAGCAGCGTGGGGCGCGCTGTCATCTCCATGTGCTCCACCTCGAAGCCGTGTGCCTCCAGCAGCTGCCTGTGGGGGGGAGAGGTGTGGAGTTGGGGGGAACCAAAGGGAGTTACAGGGTGGGTAGGAGCCAAAGGGGCTCTATATGAGGCAGCAGCGTGGGGCGCGCCACCACCTCCATGTGCTCCACCTCAAAGCCATGTGCCTCCAGCAGCTGCCTGTGATGGGGGAGGGTTGGGTTGGGTTGGGTGAGTAGTAGCCAGTGAGGAACTTTGAGGCGTGTCAACGCCACCACCTCCATGTGCTCCACCTCAAAGCCATGTGCCTCCAGCAGCTGCCTGTGATGGGGGAACATGACAGGGGGTGGGGGGGTTGGTTAGGGTGGGTAAGGACCACGGGGCATGAAGGGCATAGCGAGGCAAAGAGCAGTGGATGATCATTCTGGGCCATCCACATGCTCCCTGAGCTCTTCCTCCTCTTCCTACAAAAAGGCTCTCTCGCACTCCAACCTATCTTCCCCCTTAGAAATCCAAACCCTTACTTCCTCCCCTCCCTCTCCCCTTCCTCCTCTTAGCGCACCTGTACTCCTCCTGCGTGGGGAAGTACCACGGCACCATGGCCGCCGCATCTATTCCGCGTGCCCGCAGCACCGCCACCAGCGCCGTCACCACCGCTGCCACGTTGCCAAAGCCCCCCATCTCCGCCACAAACCTGGGGAAGGACGGGGGGGGTAGGGTTGGAGGGGACAATGAGGTTGGACAGTGGGTGTGTGAGGGTGGTGAGAGGTGGGAGTCACCATGTTGCAGCAGAGATGGCGATGAAGGGTGCTTGGAGAGAGGGGCGCACAGCAGGGCGCTGCTCGGGATATGTGGTGAGGGAGGGGGGAGGGGGTGCAGTGGGCGCTCACCTGCCGCCGGGCTTGAGGGCGGCGCACACGTTGGCGACGACCAGGGACGGGTCGCGCTTCATCCAGTGCAGCGCTGCGTTGCTGAACACACAGTCAAACTCCGATGAAAACCTGCCGTGGGGGAGAGAATGGAATCCCGGTTGAATGTGGGAGAAATGGGCGAGCGCTCACAGGGGAAGTGCGGGTGGTGGAGGCAACGTGGCAGGTGAACGCAGTGAAAAACAGTGAAGCAAAGTCGTGCACAGCGTACATCAGTCTGTGTGAGGAGAGCATGTAGTGGTGCTGCCTTGAAAGACAAGTTTTGAGCTTGAGGTTGTGCCATCGAGATAGAGCACCCACTGCAGCTGGCCGGCGTCAGCGAGAATGGCGTTCACCCCATCGCGGCGTGCCATCTCCACCATGTCGGGCGACGAATCCACTCCCACCACGTGGCAGCCCAGCGCTGACAGGAACTTGGACAGCGTGCCCTCGCCACACCCCAGGTCCAACACTCGCTCACCTGCCAGGAGAGGGGGGAGACGGGGGGAAGGAGGGTGAGGGGTGTTGTGTGCAAGTAATAAGAGCAAAGTAGTGGTTCAGCAGTACATTTTAAGGACAGCAATTTCTCTTAACTCCTACCCTCTCATTTAGCCAACATGGGAGGCAACATGGGAGGCACACCTGGGAGCGGGGCGAGCAGGTCGACGACGGGCAGGCCGAGTGTGGGCACAAAGGAGAAGGACTTGCGGTATGTGGTGGGGTTCCACCTCGTGCGCTGAGGGGAAGGAGCAGGGAGGGAGGGGGAAGGGTGGGGAGGGAAGAGGAGATGATGAGAGCAGGGAATGAGAATAAAACAGAGGGTTGAAAACAAAGCAGTTCACCCATCCTCGCACGCCACCTCCTCACCCCCTCAACCCCCCATCCCCCTTCCGCGCACCTTCCTACTGGGTGGCGCATCGTCGTCGCTGTCATCACCCTCCCCTGCCCGCCCTGCCAGCTGCTCCTCCTGCGCGTCCCCTGCGCACCCACACGCACACACACACAGGGAGGGAGGAGACACCCGGTTGCTGCATGCACTGGCTCCTGTGTGTGCCTCGCTGCATTCACTGAGAGGCACGTTGCGAGGACGGCCCAGCGGGAAGTACTGTGGACTCAGGTGACTACACAGTCTATATGCACCAAGCCACGCATTACCCCCCTCCACCGCCGCTACCCCACCCACTCACGGGAGCTGGCGGGCTGCTGCTGGATGGCGGCGCTGATGCGGCGCTTGAAGCGGGAGAGCCAGCCGTCCGACATCTTGAACTCGCCCGCCGCGATGCCCCGCTCCCCCGCCAGCTGCCGCGCCTTGTCCACGATAATGGAGTCCATTATATTGGGGCGCTGCGATATGATCTGCCAGGCATGCACGCACAAGCTGCACCTTGTAAGAACGCTAAGAAGGGAGGAGATTTGAACAAATGTGATACGGACATATATGGCAAACAGCTGAGCACCGCTCCGCACCTCTCGGAACCAATCGATGAGTTCGTCCTCCAGGTCCGGGAACTTGCCAAGCCTCTGGCGCTTCTGCCGAGCCTCAGCGTCGGAGAGGTGGAGCCACTTGGGCGAGTCCTTGAGGATCTTGCAGACCGTGGTGCGGCTGAGGCGCACGCCGTGCCTTGCCTCCATCTCCGCCACGATCATGTCTTGCGACATCTTGTCGCTGCGCTGCTTCAGCTCGCAGATCTCGCGCTTCATCTCCCCCGTCAGGCTGCTCCGCCGCGCGATGCCCTCCAGGTCCGCTCCCGCGCGCGGAGTTCCGCCTTCCGACCCCGCGGGTTCCGCCCCGCCCTGGGCGAGTGCAGCGGAGGTGTCCAGGTGCGCGGAGGCCTCCCCGCGCGGCATGAGCGCGGAGGCATCGGCGCGGGCGGCTTCCGCGTCGGAGACGAGGCGGCGTTGGCGGAGGATTTCGACCTTGCTGACCATCGGCGAATGGCGGAGGGGGAAGGGGCTGGCGGGGGGGAATGAACGAAAGAGGGAGCGGCATTGCACGGGGGGTGACGACCTGCGAGCGACCGACGCAAACGGGCTCACTCGGAACAACCGAAAGGAGGCAAGCGGAAGGGCCATTGCGGGCACGCAGAGGACGGGACTATGCAAACACAGCAGAAACAATGGACGGTATTAGTGAGGAATCGCGGGGTCTGAGATTATAGATAAATTACACGCCTACCGAAAGCCCGCTGTCTGACGAGCGGGACACGTTGCGCTCCACAGTGCCGCGACGGTCGCCTTATATACGTACGTCAGCCTTTCGAAGAAGCTGCCAGGAAGAAGCTAGTCTAGTGCGGATGACGACGGATGATGAAATCGAGGGTGGCGTGTCTAGCGAAGTGGCATGGGTGAAGGATGTGGTGCTGATTGGCGGGAAAACTGAGACGGGCCTGTCAGGAGGCGGCAGTGGGGTTTACGCATCGATCTGAGTATGAGCGGATTCGGCATTCATGTATAGGAAGATGTCAGTGATACATTTGTTGTGACGCGATAAGTTGGAAACTGCATGTAATTTTTTTTGGAAATCTGCATGTCAGGTAAAAAAATAAAATTCAAACTGAATCTCTAATAATAAAGATATTCTTTCTCAATTTTTAGAAGCGCCTAGTCTTGTGCATACTAGTCTAAACTAATTGCCTTAGTCTGTATGGCAACAATTGCTTCTGATACTTTATGTTCTTGAGAAATTTCCAGTTATTAACAAAATCTCCAAGCACGCACAGATATTTGAGCGCGTGTAGCTCAGGGGCCTGTCGATGGCTGCCACGTGAGGCGTCTGCATTCCGTTGACGCCACCTGATTTGCCGAAGTTCACGAGATCATGGGGTTGGCTGAGGGGGAAGCGGGAGCATCCGCATTCCCTTCCCTTGCTGCTCCGCCAAACTGTTCCGCTTGCTTCCTCCTCCAAGCGCCACTCCCCCCTGCCCAGATCCGCCATCACACCCGCTGCAACTGCTGCTGGCTGGCGCCACCCTGCACCGCGCTCCACTGGGCCTGCTTCAATTATTTCCTCCCCCATCCTGCCACTGTCGCCTAGAGCAGAGCACCTTGCCTTGCTTCAATTAGTTTCTGGCGAGCATATCTCCGGCAGAACTCGAATCTACCTTGCCTTGTCATCGTCGCGCCTCTGCTCGCCGTGTGCTCGGCAGCCGCAAAAGTCGAAAGATCGTTTTTGTCGCGCCGTGTCGAGCTCGAGTCGTTAGTGCTCTGACGTCAGCATGCACGCCGTCAGGGCTCTGCGGCGAACCATCGCCAGCCGCGTCGTGCCGGCCGCTCGGCTCGATGGGCTCGCAGCCGCTGCCGCGGCGCAGCGCCGCTTCGCGTCATCGGTCTCCGGCGAGGTACTCCCCGCGCTCCCTGCCGCCTCGTGAATCGCATCGGCTCGTCCGTACACCGTTCTACAGCAATCGCCTGGCTGTTGCATTCCTTCGTGGATTGTTTTATTTCACGATGCCTGCCTGCATTACTCTTCACGCGTCTTTCATGGAATCGCGCTTCCGACCGGCGACGAGTATGTCATAGCGGATCCGGGCAGCACAGTGTCGCATAGAGTCGCTCGCCATGATCTTCCCAGATCCCTGATCGTGTCCATCGAATCTGCTCCGCCGTGTGCCATGTGCCATGTGGTTCCGCATGGATCTGCTCAAGCCTGAACGGCCCTGCTCGGATCGTGGCATTTCGCTTCCCCTAGCTTCCTTGCTGTACCGCGGTGATAGTCGTGTTGATGGTCGCGGCTGAGATCCGATCACGGAGATGTGGCGCCCTGCCCCCTGCGCCTTGCGCCCTGGGTCCTTCACCAGGATTGATCAACACGCCGTGCGCCCTTCGGCCCGTCCCCACTCCCCGTGCCACTCCCCCACCTTTCCCCCTTTCCGGCGCAGATGACGGTGCGCGACGCCATCAACTCGGCGCTGGACGAGGAGATGGCATCCGACTCTAAAGTCTTCATCATGGGCGAAGAGGTGCGCGGGATCAAAGGGTGTGGCGAAGGGGGAGGAAAGGGGGGCGGAGGGGATGAGGGAGGATATAGGTGGCGAGCGGGGCGAGAGTAACAGACGCGAACCTGGATATCGCAGGGAAGAACGAACGCCGCAACTCAAAGCATCCTTCATAGGCGAGGCGGTGAGGGAAGAGAGCGCTGCCGGGGAGGTTGGGCGGGGATTCCAGGGGAAGGAAGCCGGATCGGGGAGAAGCGGGAGAGGGGGAAACGGGGGGAGGAGGGGGAGGAGGGGGAAGGACGGGGAGGTGGGAGTGTGCTTGACCTGCTGATCGCCGTTGTCCGTTTATCCGTCCGGCGTGTTCAGTGCGAGCGAATGGGGATGGTAGCGATGGAGAGCAGGAGCGTAGATTGCTTGTGTGAGCACATTTTGCTCTTGCTCCCATCGCATCGCATCCGTTCTCTCTGCCTCGCTTCCGCCTTCCTCTCTGCCTCTCTATCCTCTTCTCGCTGCACATTCCGCTCTTCCCCCGTGCCGTCATCTGTCCACTCCTCTATCACCCTGTCAACCCCCGCGCACTCCCCTCGTCCCGCAGGTGGGCGAGTACCAGGGGGCGTACAAGATCACCAAGGGGCTGCTGCAGAAGTACGGCCCCGACCGCGTGCTCGACACGCCCATCACCGAGGTGCGCTTCTGTGTGGTGCTGAGCGGTGCTAGACACAGACAGCCAGGCTACGAAGGACACTGAAAGTGTGCGCGCGTTTCGTTGACGGAGCAGCAGGCCACTGCTGCTAGTGCATGCATGTGCCCATCGCTCTTCTTCATTGCTTCCGGTATTTATTCTTAATGATTGCTCCTCCCCCATCCATCCACTCACGTGCGGGCGAGCAGGCGGGGTTCGCGGGCATCGGGGTGGGCGCGGCCATGTACGGCTTGAAGCCCGTCGTCGAGTTCATGACCTTCAACTTCTCCATGCAGGTATCTCCCCGCCCTGCCATGCCGTGTCGTGCCATGCCGTGCCGTGTCGTTCCGTTTTAGACCGAAGTCTCAAGTTTGCCCACCATGAAGTTTGCCCACCATCAGAGCTTTTCCGAAGCTGATGGTGTCCAGGTGGGGCAGGGCCCCACTTTGGCCACCAAACCTGCTTTTGGCGGGCGACAGGGGTCGCCCGGATCGCATGACAGTTGTACATTCAAATCCACTTCGCCTCCAATAGAAACCTCCCGTCAAATCGCACGCTGAAGGTGCAATAAAATTCGGGAATCAATCAGCTAACTTCCATGCCTGACGGTCGCGCCAGTCAAGATTTTCCGACGGCAACTACCACGTAACTAGGCTCTCCGACAGCACAACCCCCCAAACCACCAATCGTGGCAGGATCAATGAGGTCGCACATTGACGTGCAGGCAGAGAAATGCGACCGTGGCTGTTTGGACTGAAGTCGAGCCGCGTGGGCAAACATTGAAATGTGAATTTATTTCAAATCCAACATTGCGAGCAACGTGGGAAGACTTCGGATGGTGGGCAAACTTCAGAATGCGGCCTTAGTCTGCCACGCCATGCCACACCATGCTAACCGTGCCATTCGCTCTCCCCCTTTCCCATGTTGATCGAATTCTTCCCCATACCGCCCCCACCGTGCCCCGGGCGCCAGGCGATAGGCCGCATGTTGAACAGCGCGGCAAATGCGCATTACATAACTGCCCATTCCCCCCTCCTCGCCACCCGCCCCGCCCTTCCCCCACACCTCCCCCAGGCGATCGACCACATAGTGAACAGCGCGGCGAAGGCGCATTACATGTCGGCCCATCCCCCCCTCCCCACCTCCCTCCCCGCCCCCTCCCCGCCCCCTCCCCGCCCTCCCCCCATACCTCCCCCAGGCGATAGACCACATAGTGAACAGCGCGGCGAAGGCGCACTACATGTCGGCGGGGCAGATCAGCGTTCCCATCGTCTTCCGCGGCCCCAACGGGGCCGCCGCTGGCGTCGGCGCGCAGCACTCGCAGGTGCGGACTCTGCCGTTCACTGCTGCTGAGTGGTGCTGAGTGGTGCTGAGTGGTGCTGAGTGGTGCTGAGTGGTGCTGAGTGGTGCTGAGTGGTGCTGAGCGGTGCTGAGCGGTGCTGACTGCTGCCGCTGAGTACTGCTGCTGCTGCTGCTGGGTGCGAGAAGTTCGGCTGTGATGAGCTGAGCTGTGTATGGTGCTTTCCCCTCCCCTCCTCTGCCAGTGTTCACCATCATGGTAGAGCAACGCGCCCCTCCTCCCCACCTTCTCATCCCATCCCCATCGCCATCCCCATCCCCATCCCCATCCCCATCCCCATTCTCACCCATCAATTCCTCCAACCCCCATTCCCCCCTCCCCCCCAGTGCTTCGCGTCGTGGTACGGGCACGTGCCGGGGCTGAAGGTGCTGGCGCCGTGGAGTGCGGAGGACGCGCGCGGACTCATGAAGGCCGCCATCCGCGACCCGGACCCCGTGGTGGTGCTCGAGAATGAAATCCTGTGCGTTCAAAGATGGGGGAGGGGGAGAGGGGGAGGAGTAGAATTGGGGGAGAGGAAGGGCCATGAAGGCCGCCATCCGCAACCTGACCCTGTTGTCGTGCTCGAGAACGATATCCTGGAGGCCTCACTGATACGGAGGGGGAGGGGAAAAGGGAGGGGTGAAGGGGTTGGGGGGGTGCGGGTGCTGTAAGGGAAACATCTGGCGATGATGTGCGGTGAGAGAGAGGGAGAGGGAGAGGGGTGGGAGAGGGGAGCAGAGCGAGGGTGCATTGCATGCTGGTGTCCCAATGCAACGAGTGCTCGCCGTCCCCCCTGCACGCTCCATCCAACCTACCTTCCACCCGCGCTTCGCCTCCTGTTTTCTTTCCACTCACCCCTTACCCGCTTCCCTGTCTTCTTACCCTTCGCCCCCTCCTTCTTAGGTACGGTGAGGGGTTCCCAGTGTCCCTGCAGGCGCAGAACCCCAACTTCACTGTGTAGATTGGCTTCGAGTCCAAAACACTCTCATTGTACTCTCTCTCTCCCCTATTTCCTTCATTTTCCCCCTCTTCCCCCTTCTTTCCGCAGCTACGGAGAGGCGTTCCCGGTGTCGCCCCAGGTGCAGGACCCCAACTTCACAGTGCCCATCGGCTTTGAGTCCAATGCACTCTCATTGTACGCTCTCTCCCCTTTTCCCCTCTTTTCCCCCCCTCTCCCCAGCTACGGCGAGGCGTTCCCAGTGTCCCCTCAGGCGCAGGACCCCAACTTCACGGTGCCCATCGGCAAGGCCAAGGTGGAGCGCGAGGGCAAGGACGTCACGCTCGTCGCCTTCTCGCGCATGGTCGGGGTCGCGCTCAAGGTGAGTTAAAAGGGAGGAAGGGGAGTGGGGATAGGGGGGGGTTGGCCGCACTAAAGGCCGGAGAGGGAGGGTGCTATGCACGTTCGTAATCAAGGGAGGGAAAGGGGGAGGTAAGGGGAATTTTGTGTAGCGTGTAGACTGCTGGGTTCGTGTTCCTTATTTTGGTGCACCTTTACCCCACCGGTGAAGCAGCTTGCTGCAGGAGAAGTGCCTTGCACACACGTTCAGCGACACCCGTTATGACAAGCTTTTTCTGCATGCGCCATGGCTGCCATGCTGCCTCTTGTCAGCGCCAGCTTCTCGCAGTCCAACGCTCTGCGCCATTTCCCCACCCCCCTCTGCGTTCCTGTGGTGCTGGCAGGCAGCAGACGAGTTGGCCAAGGAGGGCATCTCCGCTGAGGTCAGCCGCGCTCCCCTCCGCCACGCCCCTCCATGCCGCGCCACGCCCCTCCATGCCACTCCATGCTTCCATGCCGCGCTCTGTCTGCTTGCCCCCCCGCTGCTTCGCCCCTCTGCCGTAATTTGCTGTTCCTTCAACACCGCTGGCACTCACTCAGTCGCCTCCAAGCATCACCCCGCCCATCCACCCCTTCGCCCCCCTCCGTTCTGCCCATCCCCCCGCCATCCCCTGCCCCTGCCCCACCAGGTGTTGAATCTGCGCACGATCCGGCCGTTGGATCGCGAGGCCATCAACGCGTCAGTGCGCAAGACGTCGCGCCTCGTCACCGTGGAGGAGGGCTGGCCGCAGTCCGGTGTCGGTGCTGAGATCTGGTGAGGGGAATGGGGGCAGTGGTTGGGTGGGGGGAGACTTTTGAGTCGACTCAAAAGTCGGCACCACATCCCGCCTCGTCATCGTCAAGGAGGGGTGGCTGCAGTCCGGTGTCGGTGCTGAGATCTGGTGAGGGGAATGGGGGCAGTGGTTGGGTGGGGGGAGACTTTTGAGTCGACTCAAAAGTCGGCACCACATCCCGCCTCGTCATCGTCAAGGAGGGGTGGCTGCAGTCCGGTGTCGGTGCTGAGATCTGGTGAGGGGAATGGGGGCAGTGGTTGGGGGGTGCTGTAGGATGGAAGGGGTGGGGAAAGGGTGTTTGGTGAAGCAGTATGGGGGAATGCTCCTTTATTGCCCATTCAACTCCCTTTGCCTCTCCCCCCTACACTCTCCACTGAACTCCTCCCTGTGCGCCAACCTCTGCACTTGTGCATGCAGTGCGACAGTGGTGGAGACATCATTCGACTACTTGGATGCACCGGTGGAGCGCATCTGCGGCTCAGACGTCCCCATGCCCTACGCTGCCAACCTTGAACGCCTCGCCCTGCCCCAGGTGCACCTTCCTCCCCCTCATGCGCCCCTTCCCCCATGTCATGCGCCCCTCTCCCCATGTCATGCGCCCCTCTCCCCATGTCATGCGCCCCTCTCCCCATGTCATGCGCCCCTTCCCCCATGTCATGCGCCCCTCTCCCCATGTCATGTGCCCCTCTCCCCATGTCATGCGCCCCTCTCCCCATGTCATGCGCCCCTCTCCCCATGTCATGCGCCCCTCTCCCCATGTCATGCGCCTCTCTCCTCATGTCATGTGCCCCTCTCTCCGCATGCCTTACCTTTGCGCTGTAAAACTAGATTTGGAGTCAAACTTTAGCCACTTGAATTTCTCTGTGTTAGACTCAATTGTCTCGCCTCAGCAGGGCTGTCGCCTGGGTTCGAGTAATGAAGACGCATACGTGGTGTGGCTTACTGGTCTGAATCTGCCCTGCTTATGTGTGCGTGTGCTCTTGCATGGCAGGTCGAGGACATTGTGCGAGCCAGCAAGCGCGCATGCTTCCGCTCAGCTGCCCCTGTTGCTGCCACGGCATAAGAGAGAAGAGACATAGGGTGTAGTAGAGTATCAATGAAGACATTTCACACCATACACGTGCTGTAATCTGCTTTTCTGTATCTAGTTTAGTGAATTGGATTAATTTGGTACCCTCCACATTACTCAACATCTCAGCACAGAAACGTGCAGCAGCAGAGGATATCACACCATGGCACACTACCATTGCTTGGGACCTGAAACCACTCGCGTCATTCCACAATGTCCACTGCAGTTGCTGCCAGCAGGGCGGATTCGCACATGGCATTTCAATGCAATTTTGATGTTGTCTTCTTACTACCGTAGTACCATAACCAGCAAGGACATTGCTGTGTAGCATATTGCAAACATAAGCACACGTAAGGCGCGTGAGTTACTGGTAGGCGAGGCGCCTGACAAATGGATTCACTCGATAAATCTAACTTGGTAGCAGGAGTTTTAGGTGATGCGCCTTGCAAACCAGTACATGAAAGTATAACTTGTGTTCATAATCTTTGCTCTTGTTCAAGTCTCCTTGAACTGCTCTCCTTGTAGAGAGGCTGCTTATGCTAGGAGTTTTTTGGAACTGACCGAGATGATGGAGAATATTGCAGCCAATGGCGTGAATGAGTTTCCAACTTCTTCAAGGATCGCCTGGCTACACGCTGCTCGACCGGCCACATTTGGGCAGCTTGAAGCCGTCAGCAACGTCATTTCTAGTGAAAGTTGTCCGTGATTGGTTATCGCGTTACACCTCCCCCAACCTGACGGAGTTGCCATAATGTCGAACAGACCACGAGACATTTTCAGCTTGGTCGTGATTGGACGATATTCTTGCTTGTGCTTTTTCAAACTGGAAGGCCAAGCGTGGTGGGTGTAGGCACCTAGTTCCAGGCGAGCAAAAGCGGCGGGGCGGACGAGAATGGCGGCGGCTGGCGGATGGCGCTGGGGGCAACTCCAGGACGCATCGCTGGCGCGAGAGGGTAGGGCATGGCCGAAGCTGCTATCGCGGAGTGCGTTGGTGGAACGCTTGGTTCTGGCTGATTTGCGAGAATGCTTGGCCATGCTGCAGCGAAAGTGACGAGGTCATGGCGGTTAGAGAGGTCTTTTAGCGGACAGACGGAATGGTAACAGCGGCGCTGGGATTGATGCAGACTGCCGTTCCTAGTACCCTACCCCACATCAGGATACTGTCGGCATGGATCGAACAGCGAGTGAAGCCTTCTGAGAGGATGTAGATTAAATAGCAAAATTCTACCGGCGAAGTGACAGAAGCTGTTAGTCGTCAGTAAACGCTTTTCGTGAAACGGCATCCTCTAACATCGCCTTCACTTAGCAGTAGAAACCAAGATGGCGCCTCCTACCCGCGTTCTAACCCTAACAATCATTCTCACGCTATCGTTAGCGTGCTGCACGGCGGTGAATGCGGTGAACGACCCGAGCAGCGTGCAGTTCTCGTCTCTGACTCAATCCATTGTGGTTACTACAACGGTCAACGGCAACAACGTCACCAACGGCACGTGAGTTGCCCCACCACTGCGATCCAAGCATTCAACCCCATCATCTCCCGATTTTAAACCCCCAAAGAAATTGCGGTAGCAAGAATCTGAATCACAAGCCATCCTCTCACGCGTTGCCTCCTGCTTGTGTCTTCTCCCTATTTTTCGCCCTGCCCGCTGCCCCTTCCCTCTCTCGCAGCGGAATGACGTATTCCAAAGACGAAATGTCGATTCACTGGCACCTGAACCAGTCGCTGTGGGGCAGCGACGCGGCGTTCAGGAAGGTCGTCCTGCAGCTCTGCTTCGGCGCGCCCAGCCAGGCGTCGCGCCCGTGGCGCCAGCCCAACAACGTGCTCTCTCACTCCAAGAACTGCAAATACACCATCGCCTGTAAGCCCTGGGTGCAGAATATTGGTAGTACTGAGCACATCACGTCTCCGCATGTTCCACTACACACCACTCTATGCTATCATCCCCTTTTTTTCATTCCAATCGTGCTCCTTCTTCCTCCCCCAAACAGATGTCTCTTCGTGTTACACTACACAACCCCTCTATCAATCCGTGTTCTTCTTTCTAATCGTTCTCCTTCCTTCCCCACACCTTGTCCGGTGCAGCGCAACCGTACAACGCGTTTGGCAACAACACGGTGTGGCGGCCGTCGCAGGACACGCCAGGCGCGCAGTACTTCGTGCGCGCGTGGGTGCTCAACTCCTCCGACTCCTCCGCCACCATCTCCGCCAACAGCGTCGCCTACGGCCAGGTCAGACATGGTTCTTGACAGCGTGTCTATTGGCAAAGCCACTCTCAGCTCTCTCTTCTTATGAAGCTCCTCTAATGTCAAACTCCGCTGCCTCCCTACCAGTTTTGCTTCTTCTTTCCCTCATGAGATCTAACATCACCCTGTTCCTTATCCCACCTGCTGTTTCTGTTGGGACTGCAGAACACTGACCCTTCAATGAGCACCAATCTGGTGGTGGTGACGCCCTTTGCTGGCACAGCCATGGGGATCAATATATACATCGTGTGCATCTCGGTAGTGTCCTATGCTGCCCTAGCGGGCTTCTTCTTCTACGAGAGATATGCGAAGAAGAATAAATAGTATGTTGCAGTCTTTGTACAGTAGTTACACAGCTGTGTGTAGTTATAGATACGGTAGCTGTTGCGCCAAACACGAGATGGCCGTAAGGGAGATGCAATGCTGGTGGAGCTGAATCAATGCGTTTTATACAATCATGCTTGTCAGTGAGAGGGCAAGTGTATGCCCTTTTAGTCTCTTGCCCATCTATTGCCACAGAAGAAACTGTCTTTTCCTGTAGAAATGATTTTCCAAGTACCTATATGGTGGATGTGTTATGTACCCTTCTTGTTCCAGTAGACTTTTGAACAATTCGCAAAACATTATTACCGTATATAGCGTACCTTTTTGGCTAATCTCGGAGAATTCCTCATAGTTGCTGAACACTGGGGTCTATAACTAGGTCCAGACGGCACCGGACAATCGGATCCTTATAGATAGACAGCCCGTGGCGCAATAAACGCAGGTTCGCTCTGAAGCTAGTCGTACTGGACGGTTGTAGTTTTGTCACCCCTCGCCTCGCTCCCCCCTTCGGCTCCCGTCATCACATCACCTCCTCCGCTTCCGTCCCAGATCCTTCAATTATCAATCTAGGTCATACGCGTCTCCTTTTCGCCTTCAGCCTTTATAGTGATCAAATCATCTGTCCTTTCAATCTATCTATTTCTTCCGGCGTCCCATGGCCGACACTGAAGCCCTACTGGTCGGCAAGCGGAAAGCGGACCAGCCAGGCGGAGTGTCGACTGAGAATGGCGCAGCTGATGGCGACGATGCAGATCGCGCAGGAAAGCGGAGGCGGTGGGATAGCGCAGATGGGGTGCAGAGCGGTGCCGACGGCGGACAGAAACCCGCGGAGGGTGGCGGAGGGGGGGGTTCCGCTCCCGCTGCTGGCGGAAAGAAGGTAGGGTGGGCGGTACTGTCCCTATCGATAAAACTTGTTGATTGATCGACAACTTGTGGGAGTATGATGCAGAGCTCGTTGATCTTCATCACGAATGATGCACAGAACGTCAATCGTATCTGTTACCCGATTCGCGCTGATTATCGCCAAGGCCGTTCTGACGCCAGCGGATCCAATGCTCGTCTCCGTTTGCATTGGCTGCTGCACCTTCTACGTCGAATTTCGATGCCATGCTCTCGTAGAGGCGATCGCGGTTCACCACCTCGCAACGTGCCTTCAACCATCCATCCGTCTGTCCGCCCGTCTGTCCATCCTTCCCTCATTCAGGTCCCGAGCGTGTCGCTGGATGCGTTGGCCAAGGCGAAGAAGGCCCTGCAGATGCACAAGGAGCTCAAAGAAAAGCTCAAGAACCTTCCTCAGGTGGGTTCCCAGGTCCTCAGCTGTGTCCTCAGGTGGGTTTCCAGGTGCTTCCTCAGGTGTGTCCTCAGGTGGGTTATCCATAGTACCCAGCGTTCACCAGATGGTCTATTTCTTGATTCAGTACATCCCGCTTAGGACAGATTCTATGCTTTGTCATCGCCGTTGGGCTTTTTAACTTTCTTCGCTATCTATTCCCTTCATTTGAGGCAACTAGTCGGTGCCTGTGCAATTTAGGGCTTCCCTCCTGGCAACGACTGTTTCATTATGCGTGTCCCAAAACCCGTTCTTTCCTCCACCTCACTTACTTTGCATTGCAGCTGAGCAAGGCAGCGCCAGCGGCAGCTGCCGTAGTCCCCACTGCGACAGCACCCGCCGCTGCAGCCGCAGCAGCAGCAGCCGCCGCGGCAGCAGCAGCAAAGGGGCTACCAGCGCCTGTGCCCGTGGTGGTGCCTGTGGCTGTTCCTGGCGTCGGCATCGTGCCCATAGTCCCTGGCGTTGCTGCTGCTCCTGGTGCTGCCATTCCGATTCTTACTCCAGATGCAGCAGCAGCGGCGGCAGCGGCGGCTGGGGTTGTGGGAGCGGGGGGCAGCAGCAAGGTGACGCGGGCGCCGGTGCTGCGGTTGGATGCGATGGGGAGGGAGATAGACGAGCATGGCAATGTGGTGGAGCGACCCAAGATCGCCCCCGTCAGCACTCTCAAGGTGTGCTTCCTGCATGTTCGAGGTGTGTGTACTGCACTCTCACAGTGTGATGCACTCTCACAATGTGATGTGATGCACCGCAAGGTGGATGGGAGCTTGTCCTCAGGGCCGGGGGAGGACCCCCTCCTTCACTTTCGCTTTCGCACTCATTCGCTCGCTCTTTCCCTCTCTCCCGTCCTCCCTCCCCCCCCCAGGTGAACATCAACAAGGCGAAGAAGGAGGCGTTCAAGATCCTTTGCCCCGAGTTGGAGGAGGACCTGCATGACAGCCCCACTCACTCTCTCACTCTTGACCTCTTCCCTTCCCCCTCCTCCCCCTCTCCCTCACACCCCCCCCCCCCCGCCCCCCCAGGTGAACATCAACAAGGCGAAGAAGGAGGCGTTCAAGATCCTGCGCCCCGAGCTAGAGGAGGACCCCCATGACAGCCCCTTCTTTGACCCGCGCATGGCCAGCGAGCGCCTCAAGCTGCTGCGCCCACGCAAGGCGTCCTTCCAGTTCGTGGAGGAGGGCACCTTCGCCAGACAGGCTGAGACCATGCGCATGCGGGTGAGTGGGAGCAGGGCGTGTGGGTGAATGAGTGGATGAGAGTGAGTGAAAGCACTTCTGAAGCGCCTCAAAAGGCTGCTGCGCTCGCGCAAGGCGTCCTTTCTGTTCGTGGACGAGGGCACGTTTGCCAAGCAGGCTGAGACCATGCGCGTGAGGGTGAGTGAGAGCGTGCACACATGAGGATGGGAGCACACGCAGGGAAGTCATGCCGTGCACCTTTTTGCTGCTTAGTTTATTTTCTTGGGGTCGTTCTCTCCTTCTTTTCGCACACCACATGGCTTGAAAGGAGTAGTTTTTGAGGCATGACAGTGCGACCCATCCATTGGCTATCATGAATCATGACCATCGTCAGCCCGCTCGCTGCACTCCATGCATGCTCTGGTGCTTGCGGCTCTTCTTCCACTCCCTTGCGCCCCTGCAGGCGCAGTTTGGTGTGGCGAGGCAGATGGAGATGGCGGCGAGGCAGAGGGCCAAGGAGAGGGAGGTGGCGGAGGGGGGAGACAACCCCAACCTCGTGGAGGTGGGGCAGCGCCCCCTGCACCCCTCCGAGAAACCCAAGCCGCCCATTCCCGACGTCGAGTGGTGGTGAGTCACCTGCTTTGCGGCATTTCCCTTCCTGTTCCTTCCTCTTCAAACCTTATTCCCCTTGCTGCTCTTCCCTGTTGCCTCTCAAAGTCTACCGGCCTCTATTTATAGTTACCTGCTTATCACACTACCCTCCCATTCGCCTCCTCCCCTCCCCGCAGGGACGCGCTCATCCTGGCCTCGAACCAGTACCCAGAGGAGGGCGCAGCGGTGGCAGCAGCCCTCAAGGCGTCCAAGATCACCATCTACGTTGAACACCCCGTGCCCATCGAGCCACCCGCTGAAGCCCCCCCACCGCCGCCGCAGCCGCTGCGGCTGACCAAGCGCGAGCAGAAGAAGCTGCGCACACAGCGGCGCGTGGCGCGGGAGAAGGAGCGGCAGGAGATGGTCCGGCAGGGCCTGCTGGAGCCTCCGAAGCCCAAGGTGAAGATGAGCAACCTCATGCGCGTCATGGCTGCTGAAGCCACGCAAGACCCCACCAAGATGGAGAAGGAGGTTCGTGCAGCAGCGGCGGAGCGAGAGCAGGCACATGTGGACCGGAATCTCGCGAGGAAATTGACTCCAGCGGAGCGGAGGGAGAAGAAGGAGAGGAAGCTGTTTGAGGAGACGCTAGGGGGAGGGGTGGGTGGTGGGGGCGAGACGCATGTGGCAGTGTTTAAGGTGCGGCATCTGCTGCATCCGCAGACGCGGTTCAAGGTGGATGTGAACGCGCAGGAGAATAGGCTCACTGGGTGTGCGTTACTGGCTGATTCGTTTGCGCTGGTGGTGGTGGAAGGCGTGAGCAAGTCGGTTAAGCGGTACTTGAAGCTGATGATGAGGAGGATTCACTGGGCAGATGCTGTGGCTCCTGGTGCCGCTGGGGAGGAGGATGAGAGTATGGGGGAGATGGGGGTGAAAAAGGAGAACAAGTGTGAGTTGGTGTGGCAGGGTACGGTGGCCCGGGCCGCATTTGAGAAATTTACAGTGGAGCAGTGTCGCTCAAGCGCTGCTGCCAAAAAGTTTCTGGAGGATCGCAAGGTTGCACATTTTTGGGACTTGGCGGAGAATTTGTGTGAAGACTGATGAAGCCCAGCGTTAGGAGATACCGATTGAACTGGGGGATACGCGCTTGCTCATTTCATTAACGGCATTGTTTTGGGCGTGCAATGACAAATCTAATTCAATGGTTTGAGAAGTATCATTGTTCTTGAGAATTATAGATTTATTAGTGCTCTACTTCTTGTAGTCCGTGGAGCGTCTGGTCTGGTCCATTCGCAATAGCGCATGCAGCCCTGGAACTTTGTTGCTCTCGGAGCTATCTCAGGGATGCGGTAATTCAGATCGAATTGGTTCCATTCCCACTGCTTCATTCTCTTCCCCAAAACCTGTTACCTCGATTTCTCCATTTTGTTTTCCTTCACAAAGCCCGCTAGGGTTTGGCGTTGATCAGCCGCCATGGGGAGGGGTGACGACGCTGAGAGGTACGAAGACGAAGGGCCTTACGAAGACGACGAGGAGGAGTACGAAGGCGGCCCTCGCGACGCTAAGGATGAGCCCGACGAACGCGACGACCATCGCGACGTTCGCCACGACGATCGCCGCGACAGGCGTGGAAGCCGTGAGGGACGCGAGACCCGTGGTTCCCGGGAGTTCCGTGGCCGGCGCGACGAGGATGAGGAAGAGGAGGGTGACGAGGAGGAGTATCGCGACGATGAGGTCCGTTGATGGATGACCGTCTCCAGTCCATCTTCGTGCGTGCAATTCCTAATGCATTTTTAACCGCTACCATCTCTTGTTTTTTGGAGTCCCTGCCGTACTTTTTCAGATCTACTTTTCGATTCTTGAATGGAAAGTGACCACAACAAATACCTTTTAAATTCAAAAGGTTGTTT